TAGCTATAAGAAGAGAAACATTGATTCCATTGTTCCCCTTCGCTTTTTAAAGGAACAAATATTGACAAAATATCTGAAAAAGGAAACTTTGTTGCTAGACTTGTCTTTAAAAGAAAGAACAAATAGAAGTTTTCCCCCTAGAGGGAGACTGTGAAACTGTAACCAACTCCGTGGAGCTTGCAGCTGTTACAGATTACAATCGTGGGAATAGACTTCTGACCTTGCAGGACAATGTATTCAGAAGCTCTGTTGTGTGCTTTCTATAAAACAAATACCCTACTGGAACAGTTACATGAGAAGACGGATTTGATGACTGATTCGATCAGAAATTTTAAACAGGCAGTGGGAAAATATATGGAGCCCACCCAGGAATTAAATCAGGAGTGTGCCCTGACAGAACAGATGAGGGAAGAGGATGTTGCTAAATCTCGGGTGCCAGAGATGGAGGGAGCTGTGGCCCAACAGGAACATGAGCTTTTGGATTTGACAAATGTACTTGGAAAAAGCCAGATTTGGAAAGAAAAAGTTTGGTTTGGTTTGGAAATGGGGGGCTGGATAGACCCCCCTATGCAGGGATGTTTGGACTTTTCAAGTCTGGCAATGGGCCGTGAGATGTTTGGGGTTGTGGGGGCTCCTAATTTTGGAGGGATTTTGAAACATGTACTTAAAAACCACATGGAGTTTAGTGTGGATTATGGAAAAGGGGCTGATCTGTCGAGAAGGGTCAAAAACATTGTTAAGCTGGAGTTCCCACGAGTGAAACGAGCAGGAGACAAGGGAAAATACAGTTATAAATATGAAGAAGAGCTGCGGAAGGGACATGGAAGAGACTTAAGGGCCTCGGATACAAGGTTACCAGGTTAATGCGCTAGACCGATGGGATAATAAGGACTGACAAAACCCGGGACCAGGAGGAAGGGACGCTGGATGAAGATTGGATTGTTTTTATTTCTTTTTTTATTACTGGGATTGTTTTACAAAATTGATGAATGTTAGAAAAATGTTGGAATGAAATTACTTGGCTTTAGTAAAAATGTTTAAAGAATTATGAAAGAATATTATGGTTATGAGAAGTTGGTAAAAATAAGATTTAAGTTTTAAGTTTCAAGGTTTTTTTTTATAGTAAGATAAGATTAAAATAGTTTAAGGTAATGTAATGACAGAATATTATGAAATATGGAAAGGATTTGCTGCGACAATTAACAACTAGGATACAAAAAAAGGGAGGAGGAGGAGGTCAAAGAAAGAAGGCAATGACAGTTGAGGATTTGAGAATAATGGATTTGTTTTTAAATGTTTGTGGTGTATTTTTGTTTTTTTGAATTTGTATTGTTTGATGTGGTTTGTTTTTTCTTTGCTCTTTCTTTTTTCTTTTTTTTCCTCTTCTACTTTGTTCTCTTTTGTAATTTTAATTTCCCCCCCAATAAATATCATTAAAAAAGAAAAGAAAAGAAAATGTGACTACTATCACAGAATAGGAAAATAAAATGGCCTATGCTATTCTTCTTTTCTTTTCTTTTCTTTTCTTTTCTTTTCTTTTCTTTTCTTTTCTCTTTCTTTTCTTTTCTCTTTCTTTTCTTTTCTTTTCTTTTCTTTTCTTTTCTTTTCTTTTCTTTTCTCTTCTCTTTCTTTTCTTTTCTTTTCTTTTACCAAAGTACCTCATGACATAGGGTCCAAAGGAGTCAGGAGTCAGGTACAGTGGTACCTCAGAACCCAGAAATAGTACCTTGGGTTAAGAACTTTGCTTCAGGATGAGAACAGAAATCATGTGGCGGCGGTGCAGCGGCAGCGGGAGGCCCCATTAGCTAAAGTGGTGCTTCAGGTTAAGAACAGTTTCTGGTTAAGAATTAACCAGAACAAATTAAGTTCTTAGCCCGAGGTACCACTGTACAGCAATGAGCTTTTATTAATTATTGGAGAAGGAATTTGTTTGCAAATGTAGTACAGTATATGATCTATTATGAATATATCCTGAATGTATTTTAGAAAATTTTGAAAGCTTTTTAAAAACAAAGAACTAATTACAGTTAGTTCAATTTTTACGTGTGAGGAATGGGATGAATGGAAGAAGCAGAAACTACCAATTTCCCCCCTCACCACAGTCTCTACAGTGAGGTCAGGACTGGCTGCCACAGAATAAAAAAACAAACAAACGAGAAGTTGAGGGTTACACCTGAGGTTCCCACACCACCTCTTGCATGAATTGCAGCTTGAGAAGCCATGTGTTTTTTACGCAACAGATGGAACATTACTGGGGGCAGCCCTTTTCTCCATGCATCTCAAGACTGGGGCAGAGTTGTGCCTGTTGAATTTCTACCCAATATCCAGTTAGTAAGGCAAAAAGCTTTTCAGAAGGAAAATAAAGTGGCACACTAAAGCTAGGAGTGAACAGACCTGTCAGTTTTGGTTTCTCTCTGTCTTTTATTTCTTTAAGTGGGAGGAAGAAAGCTGCTTCCATTCTACTGCAGTTTGGTTTCCACCAGACACATGAATTGCCTCGCTGTCTGCTGTTTAGTACAAGTTACTTAGCTTACATAATGTACATTCATGTCAGTGTAAAGGAATCATCAGATCCAAAAAAGTTATTGATTGCATGGCATTTGCAGACTTGGGGATGCCTCTTCTTTATTCAGTCTAAGAAGCTCCCACCTGGCCCCAGATCTGGAGGGAATAAGGGGCTGGGGACGCTAGATGGAAAGACCCTGCACAATTCTGGCACTCTCTGAAGCTGTCTCCGGGAGCGATAAGTCTCCATTTCTTAAGCAGCTGGTTAAGGAACCACATTGGGCAGACGCCATGATTTGATTTTATCTAGACTGTATGTCGATATGGCAGCTACCTGCAGCGGAAGGCTCCTGGACTAATTCGGCAGAAGCACCAGTTTGCGAAGAGAGGATGTGAATTTACAGAGGGGAATCTTGGACTACAGATTTGGACTATAAAGAAGAAGAGTAAAGACATAAAATCCACACAGAAACATTTTATTTGAACTTAAACTTACTTGCAGAATGAATGCAGAGGCTGTTGAAAATAATGAAGGATTAACAGCAGAATGTTTTAAGGGAATTATTGTAATATTTTAAAATGCAGTAGAACTATGAGATAATTAGGATTCCCTCTGATCTCAAAGCTTGGGAAGTCAGCTAAAAAAAATTAATAATTTATAATTAGGCATAACATTGAGATTTGTTTGATTATTGGGTAATTTGTATAATTTGGAATATATAATTTGGTTTGATGGGAAATTTTTAAATAAATATTATTTAAAAAATAAAGATAAAAGCTCTTCATTGGGAAGGAAGTAGTAGGTCATTTAGGTAATTGGCACAAAATCCATAAGAAGTAGTTATGCCTAGGGCCTCTGAGGAACAGGGTCGCGGAGTGTGAGGAGACAAATGCTGTTTTTCATGGTCATAAAGCCACTGCTTGATTGTCTGGAATATGTAGCTTTCATCACATACTTTGAGGCTTACCAGAGAAATACCCAAAGTACGTATTTTGTCCTGAATTGCTCTATACCAGGCATGGGCAAACTCGGCCCTCCAGATGTTTTGGGACTACAATTCCCATCATCCCTGACCACTGGTCCTGTTAGCTAGGGATGATGGGAGTTGTAGTCCCAAAACATCTGGAGGGCCGCGTTTGCCCATGTCTGCTCTATACCATCTAGATGGATCACGGTCTTCAAGCATAGAGGTTGAAAAGGAATTTGATGTTGTTCTGTAATGTACTTTCAGCCAGGCCTTGGTTATAATGAGCCATGTGTTGGTTTCCATCAGATGTTGACCCGTTTCGGCACCTAAGGTTAGATAACTTATGCATTTAGGGGCACCAAGGATCTTGCAAAGAAAAGTGGCTTGAATTTGTTCGACCCTTTCCCTCTATTCTGACATATGTAGGGATAGAACAAAGATGTCCAATCATTTGTATGGTGGATGGGGAAAGACTTGGTAGGTCAGGCTTCCAGTAGACCTAGTGGACCAGCCTCCACCACATCCCATGTACCTAGAATGCCCCAGATCTTTTCTGTGAAGATGACAGATCCTAATCTTGCTGCACCCCAAGTTTCTTAACTGGGGTCTGCTAATACATTATAAAGGTGTTCATAGGAAGGTAACTTGCAAAAATTCAGAAGGATGAGTGTAGGGGATTGGAGGTTATGATGAATGACCGACCAACCAACCAACCAACCAACCAACCAACCAACCAACCCACACCTTCCGTATTCTCTTAGCTTTCACCTCTCTCCTCCTGCTTTGAGGTAGCCTGCCTAGGTTTTCCCAGAATTCTTATCCTTGAGTACATCGAACACAGTTTCCATGTTGGGTCCAGTATTCTGCTCCCCTTCCTTCTAGGTTGTGGGTCAGGGCCTCCAGTCTCACACCCCTAGACAATTTCTTCAGCTGCTTCCTCTCTGGCACATGGGGAATCTCTTCCCTGGACATCTCCTGCCCCATATTCCAACTCAAAATCTTGCCACCAGGCTAGATCTGGGGCCACTTCCTTCAGAATCCCTGGGCCCACCCCACCCTCATGGTGCTCAGAATCCACCCCCTTTTCCTTACTCATGGAGCTAAACAAAGACATATTATTTCCCCAGTGACTCTGGGCGACCTTGGTTGTTGCTGCCAGAACTGAGACAGGGCCCCACACATTTCCAAAAGGGAAGGTAGCCAGTCCTGGATAAGTAAAACTTTGGTTCTAAACCTCCACTGCCTTGCAGCCAAACTCATTCATGAGAAAGTTATTGGGACACTGAGATTAACCCTGAGGTAATATCATGATCCTGCCTTTAAGTCAGTGTACTTTGGGGATCGACCAAAGGTATTAATTTGTTTACTGGAACTATAGGCCAAATGCCACATCAAACCAGTTTTTCAGTGGTGCATCTGTGTGGTGTGAGAGAAATGCTTACTGAGTAGGACATTACATGATAAATATTTTAATAGACTTCTACTCTAGAATTCCAATTGTAATGCAATAAAATACATTGTATATATAAAGATATAAAAGTAGAAATAAACTACAATTAAAAATCACTGAGCACCCTACCATGGTCAAGCAAGACCTTCAGCAATTCTCAAGTGGTCCGTGGGAAGAAAAGTATCAGAACCACTGGTTTAGAACTTCAGAAAAGAGAAACAACGGAACATCGTTAATAGTGCAAAGACTTCCTTGGTTCATTTGGAGAACTGACATGTTTCTTCAGAATATTCTACACGGCTTGTGCTGGTTTGGGCCAAATGCATCTCCACAGGAAGTCAAGAATGGAGACTGGCAAGTAAGAGAGAGGAACGTATAAGAGTTTGGCATCCCATCCTGGACAGTAGCGGATGCGAGGGGAGCAGGAGGTCAGGGCATGTTCTATAGAGTCCGTGACCGGTTGAAAGTTGCTGCTGCCGGTGAAGCGGCAGAATTTTAATAATTTGAGACCTGTGTGTGGGATATAGGAAAGAAAAGAAAACTTAGTGATGCAAAAACATGTATGTATTTATTTTGCATTTATTGATTTGATTTCTATGCTGCCCTATACCTCCGCAGGAGATAATCTAAATATTTTGGGTTCTGAAGAGATATGTTAGCTTCTGGATTGCTCTGCCTAGGAGGTCTAAATCTAAGGAGGAGCATTGGGAGCATTTTCTGTTGCTTTAAGATGGAACCTTTTTCAACAGAGGATTAGACATTGTGTTTCAGGCTGTAAGTGAGGCTTGAGAGTTGTATCTAGGTGAGGGTCGCCATACGCCGGGTTCAGGGGCAGGCAACCCAGGATTTGTCTCTGTCTCGGGCAGGGCCGGATTTAGGTTTGATGAGGCCCTAGGCTACTGAAGATATTGGGGCCCTTGTCCAGCTGTCCTTTGTCAACAACAATTGTCACTGTTTTTTGTGTTGAATATATGCTATATGGTAATTTATGGACCTAACAGGTATCTAAAGCCATTTGCACATAAGAAAATAAATATTTTATTGAAGTATTTTATTTGATTTGTTTTTGTCTTATATTTTGGAAATGTACATCTAGGTTTTTTTCCTTTAAATTTTTTTGGGGGCCCCAAGAGAGTGGGACCCTAAGCCATAGCGTGTTTAGCTATGGATTTGGAAACCAGCAATTTAGCCTGGTGGGTCTCAGGGTCTCTCTCTCTCTCTCTCTCTCTCTGTGTGTGTGTTCCAGTGCAACAGTGTGACTTATTAGCACATGCTTTAATTGCAGGCTTTGCCGTTATAATAGTTGTGTGCTTTCGCACATTGCAAACCAAACTGAATTCTTCCCCCTGCCCATTTCTACTCACTGTGCTCAAAGTAGTGCTGCCCATAGGCTTCCTTGATCTCAGAAGGGGCTTGGCTCCATTCATTCTTGTAGCTCTCTACCGTCTTTGACTGAATGGGTGTTTTGAAAGAACCGGGTTCAATAATGCTGACTCGGACCCCGAAAGGATGCATCTCTCGCCTGAATTGAGGAGGAAAAATCAAGAAACACGTCTTCTTACTGAACCAGAATAATAAGAAAGATCATGATTTGGCTTCCATGGAATAGAACATCTTTCCTTGAAGAAGAAGAAGAAGAAGAAGAAGAAGAAGAAGAAGAAGAAAGAAGGGAGAGAGGGAGATGTGGTGAAATGCAGCTTCCTGTCTTCTTCTGTCTTGAGGCACCAGGGCATTGTCTATGACCCGGCATCAGGCATATTCAGAGGCAGCCGCCAGGAGGTTGGTGCTTACAACTCTTGCTGGTACATTAAATTGTTTCCTCAAGGAAAAGAGCTGACCTAGGTGTGCAAACCCCTGCTGATTACTTGGTAAGTCTCTGGTGCAGTCCACATGTCCCAGCACCTGCTCTTTATTCATTGCTGTCCTCTGCTTGAAACTTAGCTGGAGAAGCAGACATCCCACTAAAGCAAGGAGAAAGAGGAAGATACAGAACTATCATGTTTACCTCAGGATGTCAGAGAAGGCTTCCACACCGTACTTGGATGCGGCATAGGGTACTCCAAAGCATGCCAATCGTCCCGCCATACTGGACATGTTGACCACCCTCCCTCTGGCTCTTCTCACCAGGGGCAGCATGTGTAGCGTCATGTCAATCATCCCAAGAAAGTTGACACCAATCATCTTTGCAACGCCATCTTTGGTCAGCCACTCACAGGGAGCTGATGGGGCACCAGTGCCTGCATTGTTCACCAAACCCCAGAGCCCTGTGTGAGAAGAAAAAAATATTCTTATTGTTCCAGGTTCCCACCAGCCTTAATAATTGGATATACACTATTCTTTGGAAATGTGGCTATATCTGCATTCTTGTGAGTGCTGTGTGTGTGTGTGTGCTATGCACTATATGCCAAGGATGACGCTGTTAAGTCAAGGCACCCATCTTAACTTCTATCCCACACATCTTTTGCTCACTTAGTGCTAAGGATCCCTGCACAGACACTCTTGCAACTTCCGTCATTTCCCTCTGTCAAATGAGCACAGCACTGCAGTGGAGGATAGTATGGAGCCCTGGGCATCAATTTGCACAGCAGCCACCTGATTTCCCTGCATGCTGTCAGAGAATGGAGTCTGTAGTTTGGGCCTACGTTTTGCACAGGTTGGTTAGGAGATTTTATAGGGATTTTGCTAGTGAAAAAGATAAAATTAATAAGACATCATACGTGTGGAATATAGCATGTATGGAACACTGAGAGGGTGTTTATGAGAGGTGATGAGAGGAATAACTAAGAAAGAGGGGTTTGTATCATTAATAAATGATTTATATCATTTATTAACAATAGTACAATAATCTCCCTTCTTGTCTCAGTCTCAGCAGCCACTGTAGGCAGCATTTCTGAAGAAAGGGAACACATATCTCCTCCTTCTGAGTCATTTTCCTGGTGTGGATTGCAGCTCCTCCCAGCTGCTCTTAGGAGGAAAAATTCAGAGTCCAGCATCACCTGAGTGTGAGTTAAAGTTACCAGTTTGTACCATCACTTATGGCTTTTCCTACATGTGCTTTAAAGAGCAGCTTGATCAGTGGACATTATGAGGTGTCAATGTTTCTCTTCACACCACAAGGAGCTTCACCTGCTGATGTCACAGAATAAGCTGCTGTCAAAGGCACAAAGCAAATGTCTTTCAGATCAGTTGGCAACCCTAGAAGCTTCTTATAGAGGTTGAATTAAACTGATTGCATAGTTTTTGTAAAATTTTACTCACTGTTTTCCCTGCTTCATTTGAAGATGAATGATGCCGTGAGCTCTCAAGTTGTTTAAGAAGCTGTTATTCCAAAGTTTTTTGTAGAAAATCAACATGATAGGGTATATTTCACTTTCAGCAATCATTTGGCAATTGATCGGCTTTTTCCAGAGTCCACACCTCCCCCCCGGGCCCTGGGGGGGGGGCCCTGCCAAATGCCAGCTTCACCTTCACTTTCACCTTTTATAATAATAATCCATGCAAACAAATGCACTGTTTTTCGTGAAACATTTCCCATATTGTAGTCCCAAAAAATTTCCCCCCACTCTCTCAGAAGGAAGTTTTTCCTTCTGCACCACAGCTAATGGACACCATTTTCTCAACTCCTTTATCTTTTGCTAAGTCAAATTAGAACTTCAAACGAGGGCTGCACAGCCAGATAACTAATTACAATTGGAAATCTGCCTGTATTCCGTTTAATGTTTGTTCTTTCTTGGTGAAGTTTGGCATAGAAGACTAGATGTAGATATATAGAAGGAAAAATAACCACGCACCTCACATTAATGAAAACACAACGATAGAGTCCTTTTCAAAACCGTGACATCCAAATTTTGGTTCGTTTAGCAGATCTTTTTTATCTTCTTTCCAGAACATGCCTGTTTCTTAGTCCAAATTTTCATAATTTTGAGAACACAGGGACCCCCAGCTCATGAGACTGTTTCTGGAAGGTTCCCAGTTTTTGCCGTGGTCATCACCCTGCACCCCTGCCCCCACATCTTGTTGCGGAGGGCAGATAATGGACGATCTGAGGGTCGCACAGCCTCCCCTACCCGGGGGGGGGGGGTCAGCAGGGCTAATTACCTTCATATTAACCCTGAATTACTGGCAAGACTGAGGGTTCGATCTCTTGGGAGGCAGCCATATCTCACGGCTGGAAACCAGAAGCCTGGATTAATTGTTTCTAATAACTTTTTTGAATAGTACTTGTTCATTTGATATATTGGGAGTCACTTTGGCCACATTTTGTGGGAAAGTGGAGTAAAGATAAGCAGATGATGATACAGATAATCCCTGGCCTGATCCAGAGCATGGAAACAACAGAACAAAAAGCTACCTTTGTTCCCCACTTGTTCTTTCACCCACTCCGTCGCTGCCGCCACGCTCTCTGTACTGGAGACATCCAGAACGGTGGTTTTCAAGCGCTCTGAGGTGACCTTGTCCAGCTGCTCTGCCCCCTTCTGCGTGAGACAGGCTGCCAGCACTTGCAGGCCCCGGGCATCCAGCTGCCTGGCAAGTAGGTTTCCAAAGCCAGAGTCACACCCCGTGATGAAGACATATTTCTCCGTCAGGTTCTCCACTGTCTGTCTCTCCTGGTACCACCGGCGAAGGAAGTAAAGCCCCAGCAGGGCAGCCAGGTAGAGCCACATGGCTGAAACCTGCAGGGAAGAAGCTTGCAAGAGTGAGGGCACACAGGCACCTAGCAAGCCTTGGAGAAACCAAATCCCAACCCCTGCTCCACCATGAAGCTCACTGCTCTATTTAGCCTCCCTCGCAGTGTTACTGAGGGGAAGGAGAAATGAAGCAATGAGCTGCTTGGAGCAGATGCAAACTAAAACAAGTATAAACAATAGCTCTAGCTAGCTGCTTATTCACTGAACAACCAAATGAAGAGGAACAGTATGATCCTATAAATATCTAGACATAAGCAACACTAAGCTCAGATATTGTGCAAGCCCAGCATCAGCATCCAACAGGTCATACGCCTTATTTTGCCATCACTGCATCACATATTGCACTTGCTCAAGGTCCAATTCCCAATTTGATTTGTTTGTTAATTTTATTTTTTGAGTTTTCAGTTTTATAAAAGATATGAAATGTAGTACATCTTCAGAATAAAAACATAATTGGACTTCCCTCCTCCCCTTCTGTTTCATCTTCTGGTTTCACTTTTATTTCTGCATTTCCCCTATAAAGGTTAAGGGACCCCTGACTGTTAGGTCCAGTCGTGACCGACTCTGGAGTTGCGGCGGTCATCTCGCTTTGTTGGCCGAGGGAGCCGGCGTACAGCTTCCAGGTCATGTGGCCAGCATGACTAAGCTGCTTCTGATGAACCAGAGCAGCACACGGAAACGCTGTTTACCTTCCCGCCGGAGCGGTACCTATTTATCTACTTGCACTTTTTGGTGTGCTTTCGAATTGCTAGGTTGGCAGGAGCTGTGACTGAGCAACGGGAGCTCGCCCTGTTGCGGGGATTCGAACCGCCGACCTTCTGATTGGCAAGTCCTAGGCTCTGTGGTTTAACCCACAGTGCCACCCGCGTCCCCCCCAAAAAAGTATTAGAAACAACTAAAATCAATAAGGCAATGAATGGGGAAGGAATTCCATGGGGTGACCTTAATTCAACCTCTGTCAAGAGCTGCTAGGATTGCCAAATAACCTGAAAGATTATTGCGTTGTGCCTTTGACAGCAGCTTGTTCTGTGAAGTCACACAGTGAAACTTCATTTTGTATGAAGATAAATGTTCCTGTCTGATAATGTCCACTGATCAACCTGTTTCTAAAAGCACAGATACAAGATATCATAATCAGTGTTGCAAGATTTTAATTTTAACTGACAAGCAGCTGCAGGACCTCAAACTGATTAGCCAGCATTTGCAGTGTAGGAGAAGCCTCTGGAGTCATTTTGCTGATCTACATTGAATTTTTCCTCCTAATAGCAGCTGGGAAAGGAGGCATTTTAGATGGGGGAAAATACTTGGGAGAAGAAGGGACCAGAGGAGTTATATTGCAATATCTTTTAAGATGCTTCCCATTTAAATGTGTTTGGGGAGCCCAGAGCAGAGAATATGGAAGGTATAACCTTCTGGATCAGGCCAATGTCTCTTCTCAGCCACCATTCGGTTACCAGCAGATGACTTCTCAAAAGCAGCAATCAAGTGCACTCTCCCTTCCTGTGCTTTCCAGCATTCGGTATTTGGAAGATTTTTGCTTCCAGTATAGAGGCAGAGCATAGACATTTTGGTTGTCCAATCCACTTTTAAAACCATCCAAGTGGGTGGGTATCCCTATCTCCTGTGGCTGTTAGATCTATATCTTAATTAAGAGAAGTACTTTCTCTTAGCTGTCCTGAACCTTCCAACATTCAACTTCATTGGATGTCCATGTGTTCTAGTGTTGGAGAATGAGAAGCAGTGTGGTGCAGTGGTTAGAGTTTCAGACTAGGACCTGGGAGACCTGGGTTCAAATCTCCACTTGGCATACTGCTCATTGGGTGAGGTCCCAGCACTGATCTTTGGAGAACTCCAGTTTCTACATCTCCCCATCTAGATATTCCATTTATTCCTCTACTCTGTGTCCTGCTTCTTAACCAGTTTCATGACTGCTCAGCTTATTCAGGAGTCGGCAGTCTAAGTACACTAGGTCAACTGGATCAGTTTTTATCCAACAGATCTACTTTGGATAAGCCTTCATGCTCTTTGCTAAATTTCACGTAAAGGCCTCCCAAAATGGCCCCCAGAGGTCATTGGTTGGCCTTACTTTTAAAACTGTGTGAATCCCTGGGGAAATATTGGATCTCCAGCAATACTAAGATCAAATGCAAGAGCAGGGCGTTTGGTTTTTTGAAAGAGTGATGTGAATAGAAGCTTTAGGACTCCCATGCTTTCAATTACAGCTTTCCCCTTAACAAATATTGCCCATTTTATCGCTTCCTGTTGATAGTAGTTGGGGAAATTATGATGAACCACCCATTCAACTTTTTTAAAAAAATCATTTTTATTGGTTGCGTGGCGATTTCCTGCCTCCCTCCGAAGAAATGAAGACACAGGACACAAGAATTCAGGTTAATGGGTCAAATTAGGCCACAACTTTATTCATTACAGGAATTGAGCGGTATTGGCCTTAGGCATTGGTCCTAACTAATAACCGGTGAAAGACGGAAGGGTTAATCACCAGTGGGGGGAGTCCTGCTGAGGCACATCAACTAGGACCTCCCCCCGGTGTCACCACGTGGGGGCGTGCCATGGGCCCACACCTCCATAGGCTTAGGACAAGGCCACGCCCTTTACCGGACTACCCTTGTTTTGGGGAAGGTGATGGCGCTCCTTCTCCCCTTCATTTGCATAACAATAGGATTGTACCCCCACCAATGCCTAAGCGCCACTCGAGCCCAAGCTCGCCGCCAATACCCTCAAACCTGTAACCAATCCCTAATCCCTGATGTAATGTCTCTCAACATCATTTCCCGCATCGGAAAGATGTACGCCATCATCTCTGTAGAGGCCCACCTGGATCTCGGGATGGTCAATGACCCGTCCCCCCAGCGCCGCCACTCTACGTGCCACAGTACATTGCAAGATCTTTCGGGCTCTATTCACCGCAGTGGGAGAGCGACAATCTCTCCATGTGCTAATGCCGGGGTAAGAGGTGAGTAGTTCCTCAAAGTCTCCAAAAATATTCCATTGCAAATCGATGGCTTTGCGGTACGCTATATCATTTTTCCCAAGCTGAATTACTAAGGCATCTGGGGGGCCCTCAATCACCACTCTGTTCATAACAATCGGCATGAACTCGGCCCATCGCATCCCTCTCCTAGCCATCCAGGTGACATCAATGTTTGGCGGTAAACTGAGCCTAGGCCAGGAGCCCAACATAGCAGCCCATTTAGCAGCCCAATGCACGATACTGTGGCCCACGATCCATATCCGAATTCTCGTGTCTCCTGAAAGGTAAATGAAATAACAAGGCAAGATCAGTCACCGGCTCTTTCTAGCATATGTTTTGTAAGCATCTGATTTCCATCGCCCCGTGTCCTTAATTCTTTCTGCTGAAAGGCCCATATGTACGGCAGTAGTAGCTGCCCCAATCCTGAAGGAATGAGCTGCGAATTCTGCCGCGTTGAGGCCGCAGGCCACTATCGCCATCCGCATTACCCAAGTAAACTGGTGCCCAGTCAGGGGAGAACCATCGTTGTGGATTAATAACGGCCCGGGCAACCTGGGTCTCAGATATAGGAAGCGCCTGGTATCTTTTACCGGGCAAGGCCCTGCTTTCTTCGTTGAAAGTAATCTAATTAGTGCCCCTTTCCCTTGCTGGTCGGTCTTAGAACTGCGGACTTGTACGATCAGGTCTGAGCACGAGAGGGTCAAGTCCTGCAACAATATACCCCATTGTGTATTTTCTGGGCCTCCTTCGCATACCACCTCACCTATCCGGAGCGCTCCAAAAAATGCAATGGAATATGCTGCTGAGAATAGCCACGCTTCAAATTTTGACCAGCATATGGCTCTCAATTTTCTGTGAATTTGGCTAAGGATGTCAAATGTAATAGGCTTCCTTTTATTCTTGCTGGGGGCTCCTGCCTGCGCCAACCTTCGAGCACTTTGCGCACTACAAAGTCTGCACATGGGTCTGTGGAATAGGCCACTTTGGAAAAGAAGGATATAGCGGCTGACTGAATATTCAAGGTTTTTGATGCCCTCCCTAAGTTTTTTAGGTGTAATAAGTATTTTAGGACCTCCCGTTTTGAAGGGGAGGATGTGGTATTCAAGTTGCCTGCTCTGTTACGGAAATTTAGGAAGTCCACCCATGCCTTAGTGTATGTTCTCCGAGTGGATGGCGCTATTGCTGCCAATACTCCCTCCATTATCTCGAGTTCCCAAGGCTCCAAAGATGCTCTGGGAAAGGCAGCGGCGATTGTTCCACCTCTGGCGCTAACGAGCGGAAGCGATCCATCTGGATACGAGACAGAGCATCCACAATGTCATTGTTAACGCCTGTCACAAACTTAGCAGAAAAATAGATGTTACGTTTAAGACATAGCAGGACAAAGGAGCTTAGGAGGCTTCCCACCCTCGGGGAGCGTGAGGATTGCGTTGAAAGGACCGCTATGACCGCCTAGTTGTCGGTCCAAAAGCACACCCTGTGGTTACAAAATACCTGCCCCCATAAGTGAACTGCCACAACGATGGGAAAGAATTCTAAGAAAGTAAGGTCCCGCCACTCAGATGGCCAGCGTTGGGTGCACCACTGACCCTTGAAGTTAACCCCGAAACCTAATGATCCTGCCGTGTCGGACTGCACCTGAAAATCTGCGTGAAGCAGCAAGTTGTCTTGCCATAGTGATATTCCATTGCAATTATCAAGAAAATGAAGCCATACCTCCAGGTCAGACTTGACCGCCCTGGAAAGGCGCACCCTGTGTTGTGGAGCACGCAGGCCCGCCGACAGTCTAGCTAGATGGGTACAAAAGGAGCGCCCCGGAGATACCACCCGGTAGGCAAAATTCAAGTGACCTAGCAGGGACTGAATTTGTCTGAGGGTAACTTTTCTCAATGGCGAAAGCTGCCGAATCAATTCCCTAAGGGTGTCTAATTTTTCTTTTGGCAACCTGGAGGACTGCGCAACCGTGTCTAGCTCAATGCCTAAGTACACTATTTTCGTAACCGGGCCCTCTGTTTTGTCTGCCGCCAAAGGGACTCCGAGTTCCTCAGCTAAAGAGATAAATGACGCCAGTAAACTGGTGCACTGGGGTTCTGTAGCTGCAACGAGAATAAAGTCGTTGAGGTAAAGCGAGACCCCGATGGAACCTGTTTTAAATCAAAGTGCCCATTCCAGGAACGTACTAAAAGCTTCGAAGGCTGCACAGGCCACCGAACAGCCCATGGGCATAGCTTTGTCGACAAAATAAAACCCTTCAAATCTAAAGCCTAACCAGCGAAAATTGTCGGGGTGCACAGGGAGGAGACAGAAGGCCGATTCAATATCACATTTTGCTAGGAGCGCCCCCTTTCCAAATTTACGGATCATCTTAACCGCTTGATCAAATGACACATATTTCACTGTGTAAAGCTCTTGGGGTATGGAGTCATTGACGGAACCTCCCCTTGGATATGAGAGATTATGGATCATACGGAACTCCCCAGGGGCTTTCTTGGGAACTATGCCCAGGGGGGAAATGTGTAGGCCTTCAATAGGAGGCTGATTGAAGGGACCGGCCACCCTCTCCGCTGCAATTTCCTTTTGAATTTTCTTTCTGGCTATGTCAGGCATTTCCCACACTGATTTTTGGTTGGGAGGATCGCCCGGGTTGGGTGGGAAGGAGACCAGAATTCTAAAACCTGTGGAGAACCCTTCCCAGAGATATGCCGCTGCTGTTTTATTGGGGTATGATTCTAATAGGGCTTTTAACGGGTGTAATTTGATAGGTGAGAACACTAGGTCGAGGGCGACATTATTGGCGATTCCCTGCATTTCCCTGTGGGTGTCCGGAGGTACCCCTGGGGCCTTGGTGAGAGTACCCCCTGCCGCCCCGAAAGGGCTGCCTTCCTTTAATGCAGGCAGAGCCCGGGTGACTACCGAGGCACCTTTTGCATTCGTGGGCATACTTACAAGCCGGTCAGGAACAGACCCCCCTGTTGAAGTCCCAGCATTGTCGACGCCGCTTAGGCTCCACCTTTCCCTTTTTAGGAGAATCCTGAGATTTCTTTTCAACATATGGACCTACATGATCCATCCAATAGTTCTGGTCCCTCAGTTCCCAGCAAGCAGATGGCAGAAGTGACGCATTTCTACGAAAATCCTTGTCATAAGATAAGGCAGCATTCTCCCCTGCTATTGTGAAGGCCCGTCTCACGTGTGCCATGTGTGCTATTAGATGCATAGCCCGCTTGTGATAAGCCGCGGAAACTACACCCATAAAGACTTGGTAACCATCTAACCAATTATCGAAAGTGTGTTCCGCCCGGGGGGGGGGGGGTCCTATATCTCCGTTTCCCATAATTACGTTTTTTCTCCCCTTTACCAGTCATCTTAGTCGGGGGGGGGAGAGGAGAGTGAATATGTCAATGTAATCCCCGTTGAGTATTTTAGTCCTCTTCTTCTTAGATAAATGATTGCCTAGTATAAAATCAGTGGACACATTGGTGGATGTTTTTACATCTTCCACCAACGCCCCCCTCTTTCCATTCCAGGGACCCGTTAAAGGACTTGCGGTGGGAATTAGCCCTCCTTTCATGCACCCACAAAGGGAGCCCAGAAATATCCCCGCCCTGGCCCCAGTAATCCTCCATGGGAGCGTCGCTATCCGAATCTGAAAAGGAGGTACCTGACTCATCCTCGGAGTCCGACTTCCTGCTCTTCTTGCCTTTTTTCGCAGTGTGCTTCCTCTTGGACTTCCTTTTTCCACCCTGCTGAACAGCGTCGGCTACCATTTGGACCGTGGCCGGGGTGTCTTGGTGTCCCTGTTGTTCCTCCTTGTCGGACGATCCAGAGTCCCCCTCCACCGTTGTGAGCTGCTGTGATGAATCCTGAAAGAGACTAGGCATACCTATGTCCTGATGAGAATTAGTATTGTTGGCTCCCCCAGAAGGAGCTCTGCCGCCTGAGGAATCCGAATTGGACCCAAGGGATAGAGCGGACTGCGAGCGGGTTCTATGTGGTGACACTGCAGCGGGCCCCGGTGGGGCTATGCCTGGCCTGGAGGCAGAGGTACTCGGGCGCTCCTGATTACTGGGTATGGTGTCAGGAATGTAATCCTGTGAGGCCGGCAGTGGCGCTGGGAGAGGTATGGCTCCTGGCCTACATTGCCTATAAAAGGTCTCAAATGCCGCGAAGAACTGAGCAAATGCTTGCGGGTTGCACGGCATGACTGGCACCAGTGCATCTGTTTGAGTGGCTCCTTTGCTCCCCTTGCGGGAAGATGCCTGCTGATTATTCTTAGGAGGCATGGCGAAAGGAGCGTACCACCACCAGCACATAGGTTATTTATTTATTTATTTGTTTATTAATATCTATCTATCTATCTATCTATCTATCTATCTATCATCTATCTATCTATCTATATGTTATTTTTAAAATTTATTTATTATTTATTTATTTATACACTATTATTATTAACCTTTGTCATTAATTATTCTCTTCTATAAGTCTTTACCTATTTATTTATTTAATTTATTTGTTTGTCTATCTATCTATCTATCTATCTATCTGTCTAAATATATATCAACTATTATTGGTTATAAAATTTGCTTAAGAAAACACTTGTCACTAAACCCTTAGGCTTAGCTCAGTATTGCCCACTTTAAAAGCACAGCAATACTGCTGTAAGCTAACTGCGTAGGCAGCGGTGCAACGCTTATCGGCTGCAGCGTTTACTACTTATTTATCAAACTGTACCAATTAACTTTTGAGCAGCACAATAAACAGCATGGAGCACTTTTCCGATTTTGAATGTACTCCCGTCAGTTAAATCAAACGCTTTAAGTTGGCTCCCACAGATTGCAACAATAGACTTCCCCCTGCTGTGATGAATCCTGAAAGAGACTAGGCATACCTATGTCCTGATGAGAATTAGTATTGTTGGCTCCCCTAGGAGGAGCTCTGCCGCCTGAGGAACCCGAATTGGACCCAAGCAAGCCACAAAATAATCCTTCCGATGGGGCTACAGGGTAGCAGCCCACCGGCACAGAGAAAGCTCTGCCTGCACAGGCAGTGGCTTTATTTTGAAGGCAGTGGCTTTATATGAAGGTAACGGCCGCCCTCTTAGCACGAGAGGCTATAATGAAACGGCTTAGCCGTTCCCAGCACCCGGCAGCTTAAAATTGCCGCTGAAATGCGATGCTGGCCAGGCCGTGCCTCACCTAAAATGGCGGATCACGTGGGCTCACTTAAAATGGCGGTGCCGGCAGACGTTGTCTTGGCAACAGCATGGCTATAGGGATTTTAAATGGGGGAAATTCCCCCCCAAGGCACGCTGTAACGCGAATAAATTCAAATAACCAGATAAATTTCAACCCCAAATGAATCGCTAATTATGCTCGCCGATTGCCTCTCCCTAGGTGGCCCCCGAAAACAAAGCCTGCCTGCACCACGTGGGTTCGGGTAGCCTAGCGACGCTGTGTAGCGGCGACCAACAACCAGCAACACACACAAGCGACCGCTTCAATTCGGACTGCAGTTTAATAGAATACGCGACTAAAACCCTTTGGTACTGCTGACTCCTGCGTCCTCTCAGCTACCAATAAAATTATTAATCTTTCCCCCGCACACAGTTAGCAAATTTTATGAAAAGTTAATCAGCAGGCAGCTGCTGCCTCACCTAAGATGGCCGCAGTTCAAGGGAAGGAAACCTCCGACCACGTGGGCTACCACAATGCAATGCTGCTCGAGCTACCGTGGCAACCTTCAAAAATGATTATGCTGGCTAAAACCCCCAAACCTCAGGGGGCTGCTCTTTCCCCCGCTCCTGTCACAGCTCATGCAACCAAAACAATGCCCCCTTAAAAGTTACCACTCCATGGAGAGGAGTTGAAGCTCCCAGACTGCAGGGAAACCACTGGAAAATACCCGTGAAATTCTGACACTAGCTCCCGACTCACGGAGGAGGCGGTTGCATTGAAATCAGCCTCGGTGAGCGGCGTCCGGCGCGACGAGGTCACTTGAACCTGCAGAATCCGGGTGCTGGCGGGCGGGCAATTATGAACGAAAACCTGCAACTTAAAACGCCCCCAGTGATTTCAGCTCTGATCCATAAGATAGGCTCCTAATGCAGCGACTCTTCGACCGTTGTCGGCGACTGCTCCATCCCACGCGGCCGGGATGCGAATGGGACAGATCACGGAAGAACGGCGAAGCAAAACACTGGTAAAAACGTTCCAGCTGTAGCGGAGGAAAGAGGAGGGGCCTCGGCTGAAGCCGGGTTAAATAGCCGAGGCCCCGCCCCCGGAGCCAGCCGATTGGCTGTCCTGGTAAGTGAGGTGAACGGGGATTCCCTTGTTCTCGCAGGGGCTGGAGCCAGCCCCCACGCATGTGGGGGAGGGGTGTGAAGCCCTCAACCCCTCCTTTGCCAGCACGGTAGTGGCTTTTTCAATTACAATCCAATAATTGCCTCATTATAACAATACCAATTTATAATACAATTATTAATATCAATGGTTCCAATGCTGAATTATATAATTTAGATAAAGTGGCCCCCTGTGTGCTAAATTTGATGATTCTATTATTTTCTTTATTTCTGTCTTCCAAAATCTTATTAATTTCCATTACATTCCAGTCAGAATAATAATCCCTTATACAACAACTGCAATATTAATAACTTCTATTCGTGTTGACACGTTAAATGATTTATGAAACTACAAGTGAGGAACTCAAACTACATCCTTGTTCTTCCTACTTTTAAATCCTTTATTAGGCATAGCACACCACACAGTAACAAACAAACATCATATACAGACTGTATAAAATACAGGCTCAGTGAACACAATTTATCCCAGTCCTATTCTTAACTCCAAGAAATAAATCGATGTACATAGATAATATAATACAACAACACAGCACCATCACCTACCATTAAAAACCACTAAGTCTCTTTATCATGGCCCATTCTTTCTTCATGGACAGCACTTAAAAATTCAGCCACTATTATAGTGGTTTGATCATCGCTGTCCGCCAGCAGGTCCTGAACAGTTGGTTGAGTAAAAATCTGTCTATTAACTTTTAGGGCCTCAAATAATTGTTTTCTGGCATAACTACCAAAATCACAGGAAAAGAATATATGCTCTAGAGTATCGGGTTCCTGTTTTCTGCATTTGCAGAGACGCTCTGATTCTGGGATAGCTAAGTATCTTCCTCTCACTACCACCGAGGGAAACATGTTGAATCTGGCCAACATAAACAGCCTACACGATTCATGTTTCTTCAGATTTGTCATGTATCCCTTTTGGAAATCTCTACACAAAGGGAGATTTAAGTGGATAGGAGAGCAAGTGCTGTGCTTTGCAGCCTCAAGCATGGCGAGAACACTTTTTTCTGTAAGAGTCTTCCTGATAATTTCCCATATGTCTTTGGGATCAGAGATTTCAAAATCAATTAGAGTGAGCCCTATCGAATCCAGTTTTCTCCTACAGATCAATGATAGATTGTAGATTGCACTATCACTTAAAATATCATAAAGTAGAGAATTAGGGGATAGGGCTCTATAATGGAGGAAGATCCAATATTTCAAGGTCCTCAACCATGCTCTTACTGATAAAGGCAATATTCCCAGCTCACAACATATTGTTTCATATTTTACAGAGTTTGCAAGTCCTAATAATGACCTCAGAAGGGATGCGTGGAATTTATCCAACCTCTTGAAGTCACCTGAAATCCACACTGGTGTGCCATATAGAAGTTGGGCACAAAGTTTCATGTCAATCACTTGCAATACAGCTGGAATAAATCTATTTCCTACTGGAGAAAAAAAGTAGGATTTAATATGGTGGGCTGTCACTTTGGCCTTAACTATTGCAGCACATATATGTGTATTCCAATTCATATTATTTTTAAATGTGATTCCCAGGTAATTGAAGTGCTTAACTTCCTGTATTAAATGTCCATTAATTATACAGCCTTTTGGGTTCCCTCTCTTTCCAAATTGCATAATCTTTGTCTTATCATAATTAATTTTGAGATTATTGAGAGAGCAGTAGTTTGAGAAACTCTTAAATAATTTTTTAAACCCAAAACAGAGAGTGAAAGAATTACAGCATCATCTGCATAAAGTAATAAAAAAGTGGGCTATTGTTTAAATAAGGAGTATGAGTGGTTGCGTTTTGAAGAAATAATGGTAGGTCAGATAAAAATAAATTAAATAAGGTAGGGGCCAAGATACAGCCTTGCCTAACTCCTCGATTATTCAGAATAGGACCTGCAAGTCTACCATCTTTTGATACTTTAACATATATTTGGTTATTAGAATGTAAACTTTGAATCAGTGTAAGTAGATATGGGTCGATACCAAGGTGTTCTAGTTTAGTCCATAGTTTGTTACGGTAGACCGAATCAAAGGCACTTTTTAAATCCACAAATGCCACAAAGAGTTTTCGTTTATTTCTCATGACATATTTATCCACAAGATGACTTAACACTAGACACTGGTCAAGAGTTGACGCGCCTGCCTTAAAACCAGCCTGCTCTTTACCAGGTAGACCTTTTGTCAGCATCCATTCTTCCAATTTAATAAGCAGAGATTTGGCATAGATTTTACTTATGCATGGTAACAGACTTATAGGCCTGTAATTCTCTTGACAATTCCTATCACCTTTTTAAAAGATCGGTACCACTATTGAGTTGTTCCACGACTTAGGTACAAGGGCTGAGTGACAGATAGAATTAAAAAGCGGCACAAGTTTAATGGCCCACCATTCTACATCTAATCTCAACAGGTTTATTGGAATGCCATCCATACCAGGTGATTTCCCTTGCTTAAACGAAAAAATTATCCTTTTCATCTCCTCAACAGTAATTTGAAATTGTGTGGTTTTGCCAAAGAAAATTTAAAATTTTCCTTTTTACAAACTTGGTGATCATAAAAACATCAGTAAAATGTGAAATCCAAGCCTCATCGCTTATATTAGGAAATCAGTGATATCTTTTATTGAGAGAAGTGACCAAAAGGTTTTGGTATCTTTGATTTCTAATGCAGTAACAATTTTAGACCATTTGGCTAGTGCAAACTCAGATTTTTTCCAGGAGCATGTTCTTAAAAGCATTTTTCATTTCAAAATAAGTCTTCCAGAGACCTTGAGAGTTGGTAGTATAGGCTTCTTTTAGACAAATTCTAAGTTCTTTCTTATAGTTAATACAGTCTTTATCAAACCAGTTATACTTATTTAAAGGTTTGTTGCTGAACTGAAGGTCTAAAAAAGAAGAAAATAATTCCTGGATAGTCTTATAATAACAATCATTG